TATATCATCGTATATATGAGAACCAAGATGCTGTGGTCTCAATTTTGGGTGTAGTCTTCTTCTTTTTGAAACTTGGTCGTATTGTTAGCAGGACTAGTTGGAAGCACCTATTCCAAAGACGAAGAACTTTGCTCTAAGGTTTTGAAATTCTTCACTAGTGGCTGTTAAGGAATACAATCTATTTTATGTCTGCTTAATTCCAGCAGCAAATTGAGAAAACTAAAATATTAATAGGAATAGTTTGACCTCACCTTCGCAAAATAGCCAAGTTTTCAGAAAGACCTATAGGAAAGCAACCTGCGTTACACTTTTTGCCATTGCCATCCTGTGTTAGTCCAGAATCCAACGGTGGCTCAGATGCAATTACAGATGATATCATGTCATTTCAATTATTTCAGTCAAGTTTCGAGACTACCAGTAAATCAGTAATATGAGAGGTATTCACCCTATTTCGTCTAATGTGATGAAGGACTAGTAGTAGAATTTTCCTAAAATGATATGAGTAGAGCTAACGCTTCCATTGAATTTCACATTACCTTGCTTTGCCAAAAGTTGTTCTCATCCAGGCTTTTTGCCGATGCGAGGTCGAAACTGCAGTCCATTTCGGCCTGGATGAGAAAAACTTTTTCGAAAGCAAGGCAATGTGAAATCAAATGGAAACGTCAGCTCTACTCATATCATTGTGGGGAAATTCTACTGTCAGTCCTTCATCACCTTAAACGAAATAGGGTGAATACCTCTCATTTTAATTAGTGATGCTTAGGTGCTAAGGCTGCTGATACACAGTGACAATGTCGACTATGTATTTAGCTAATTGTTTGCGATTGCCTCCAGTTAAGAGTCCAATGTCAGAAGAGGACATAGAAACAAGGATGGTATACGTCGAACAAGTAAGGTTTGTTTACGATACTCTAAAAACTCTACTCAGTTTTGAAAATATGGTTAAATAAATTCTATACACTGAAAGTAGATTGTGACCAAACCATGGCTATATAAGTTTTGATTCGTCTGGATATCTGGAGACCTTGAGTATTTTAAGCTTACTCACGATACTAATGTCATGAAAAATATTCATCTAAGAAGCAAAATTACTATTTGATTACCACCGATAAACATATGACATTAATTACTAAAATTTCGAGAATATATGTACCATATTTAGCTAACGCTATTCCTCCACATACATTTTATCGAACCAACAATGAGAAATTAACTTAAATTTAACAATAAATATACAGTTCTGCATTTTTCCATCATATTTCAGTATCTTGCTTTAATATAAATCAAGTGAATAGCCAGCAATTAATAAAACCTAATTTCATATCATTGGGTTTTAATATCTTTTGAAAGCCTTTTTTGAGCACTTGATTAAACGAGCAAACTCTGCTTTGTTCTGTTTACAGGTGGAGCCTTGGTTGCAAGGTTCCGTTAGTCGTGAGACAGCTCAGGGCATCTGCGAACCTTGGATTGCATT